TAATGAAAGCTGATCAATTAAACAGCCAAAAGCTTAAATTTAAAGCAGTCTGCTACGCTGAAGTAGCTTGTCTCCAGACACAAATCAGAATTTTGACTTAAAAATCAGACCAAAACAATAACACATTCCTCATCACAGTGCGCTTGAAACGAAAGGATATCTGGCGTCCATGTTTGTCGACTGTTAGCGGCCGGCGGTGAGGCGAAGTGATGCGGTTCCGGTCACGGTAAACACGGTCCACCAGCCCGTGGTGCCTGGTTGTCCGACTGGTATCCAGCACTGAGTTCTGGAGGTGGACACATCAGGTGAATGAGGCCCCGCCCACAAAGAAAACAAAAACAAAAATTGCTTACACTATAAAACTGTGTCTTAGGATAATGTCTGAGGATAAATGGTGCACATGTGTTTGTTTCAAAATGAGTCAAGCCATGGGCCCCCCATACTGATGCTTGAGTTGGCAAATGTATTAAAAATGGAAAGCCATGACAAGCAATGGTCTATTTAAAATTTAGGAACCAAATTACGCATCAGGGTGAAAAAAACCCAAACAAAACAAAAAGAAACAAAAACAAAACAATAAAAACAGCTGTAGTGCACGTCTTCTCCTTCACTCTTGGACCCTGATAAAACCTGATGCTTTATGCAGCTTTGACGACGAGGTAATGTCTAAACACTTTACTGTCAGCACAGCCATAAATAAGCCTGCAGACTTTCTTTAATGGCTTTAGAGGAATTTTCTGGGTTCTTTCACCAACACCACAGACACCTGCAACCTTTGTATGTCCAATAGTATCACCAACAGCTGAGAAGGGCACACTGGTCTACAACAAACCATTGATTTACCAGCCGAGAGAGGCCAGGGGCTCACCTGAAAAGGCAGGTCAATGTTGCCATTTCCAATCTGATTGACATTGGGCAGTGAGCCTCCATAGTACTGTCCACGATTCTGCCCTAGTTGCAAATACTGGGTCTTCTGTAACTGCAACTGTGCAAAGTAAAATTGCATGAAAGCATGAGTGAATGACTGATCCAATACACAAAAAAGAGATGCTAAAAACAAATGGTGCATGCCAGACCACAGTGTGGGATATGAAAGACTGATGAATTCATTAACTGACAGATGAAACGTGATGAGCCAGGCAGATGTGGCGGTACCACGAATAATCAGGAGGCAGAGAACATATTTTAATAGCAAATAAAAAGAAAAGAAAAATCACATCAGCTGATGTGAATGACACCTGACTGACAGCTGGTGTAATTACAGTCACACTTTCCATGTAACACACCTGGCTACTACATTAACCACACAACAGTAGTCAAAACAAAAGTCATATATGTTATTAAAAAACAAAAACAACACTGTGATGGAAGGCCTCGAATATGAAATAAAATGCGTGAGGATAAATGATCAGAACTGATGCCATGGATGGATGTTTGGATGGCAACACAAAGAAATCAGGCAGAGACCATAAAACTGAGTAGTAAATTCAATTCCCCCCACCCCTCCCCCTTTGCAGTAAATAACAGTACAGCTCAGGTTTACACTGACGCAGCGTGGTAAGTGGGCATCATTTCCAGCAACTAGACCAACAATTAGCCCCAACGTTTCCTGGCAACAATATGGTTTATATCTTTTGAGACGAACAGCCCTGAAACAATTAGTTCATCATCAAAAATTGCGAGAAATCGCCAACAATGATGACAAATCATTCTGGAAGTTATTTTAAAACTTTAAAAAAAAATCCCATTTCAGCTCCATTTTACTGTTTTTTTTACATGATTATCATCTGCTATATCTCAACCAGAGCTTTTCATCCACAGTTATATTCACTTCTGTAAAATGACAACAACAACAAAAAAAGACAGACAGTAAAACGAACATCATCTCTCAGCGTTAGAAAAAACCCCACATTTTATTCATCACCAGTGGACTTGCAGCTTCAGTTAGAGCCAATTGAATTGGCATAATAAACAGCAGCCTAATGAAAACATCTGCTCCACTTGTAGTGGTTGAGGCAACCAGTGCTTTCATTGTAGTGAGAAAGCTGCCATTCACACTTTGCTAAAGATAGAGCGAGTAAAACGAGACATGTGGATCATTTAGTCAGAGCTGACTTTGCTCTCCTTAAGTGTATGCTATGAAAATAATGTTACGGGTAATGTGGGGGTTACCCTCTTTCCCCTTAATAAATAAGAAACACACACACACAGCTGGTTAACATCTGTTTGGCTAATCTCTCTGTCAACCAACATTGCTTCCCATTCCGTTTCTAAATCGCAGCTAACTTTTCCTAACGTGCTCTAATGCGGTCACTACCATGCCAGACGATTTGTCTATTAGCTAACGAAATGTCAGCAGCCACAGGCAGGGGAGAACAGGTGCACATTATCCACAGCTCCAGCAGGCGAGGCTAAGCTGGTTAGTGCTGCTGGAAGTCAAATAATGCTGGCTTGTTTTAACAGGCGCGGGGGAAACGTCGCTCCGCAGCATTGCACTGATGCAGCAAAGGACGCTAATATGAACTTTAGCTTACATAGCATCCCAACCTTTCCGATACATCTCCGCAGTGTTCGTTAGCTGCCAAACAGCGATGCAACGAGAGGTAAACAGCCCCTCTGTGGGGGTCTTACCCGCGCAGCTCTGGTGATGTTCAGGTCTTTCATCACTTCTTCAAACGCGGCGGTCTCTTCCGCCTGCTTCTGATTATGCAAAGCGATTTTTTCGCTAAATTTGCGAGGATTGTTAGAGGACGCCATCTTTCCCCTCTTCTTCTCAATGGAATGTTACGCTGCGCACCACTCCGGGCTCTCCCGGTCGTCATCACGCACAGTCAACGTGTCTGTTGATGTTTTTCTTTTTTGCTTCAGTTATTGCCAGAGTTTGCGGCAGGGTGAGTTGCAGATAAAATACACACTGCCACAAGGGAAATCGTGTGCCCCAGATGCATGCTATAAATAGTTAAGTAAATAAATAAGTTCACATAAAAGAGAACAGAATTTTCAAACAGAATAAAAACAGCGTGGAATGAAGCAGTAATGAATGCAATGGATACAACAGAAAAAAACAGCGCATGAACTATCCAGAATGGAAGGAAAGTCTACATATATCGCATGAAGCTCTAGTTTATGACGAGAAAGTTGGATCATATTGAATTAAACTAGAAGATATGCAATGGAAGTCTGAATATACTGACTGAAACTTGCATATACGCAATGAAAGTCTGAATGTATTGAATTAAACTTCACTATGTGAGATTGTGAGCTGTTGTGTGGTATATTTTAATTGGTTTTTGTAGATTTTCTGGCCATCGTTTTATTGGATCAAGGACAATGGTCTAATTGTTTGAAACTTTTGGTATGACCCTGTCTGGAATGCAACCCTGATACTGGATATTGGACTAAAAGAGTTGAAGAGGTAATTGCAGGCTAGCCAACGAGCTATTAAGCTAACACTGAAGGGTACCATGGGGCCAAGTGGACTCTGACAGCTGTCGAGGACATTAAAAAGTCTCTTGACTTCCTAATGGAGGAAATGTCTACTATCAGGTTGCAGTAGGACAGCATCCTTAACATTGTGGAGGAGGTAAAGCTCCTCTGCATCTAAAACATAGAGTAAGAGAAAAGGATTGCAGACCTGCAACGGTATTCCAGGATAAATGACCGCTTCATATTAAACCCCGCTCATACGCTCAGGCAGGGACTGTCAATAGCAGTGAGGAACCAGGGGAGCTGGACGTTAGCTCCATGGTACAACAGGTTGCTGCTTTCCTGCAGTCCAAAGGGTTTGATCTGGACTGTGACAACATCGACGCATGCCACCCTGTGCCCAGAATAAACACCAGCAACAAACCAGCTATTATCTTAAGTGTAAATCAGAAGCACGAGAATGCACTGCTGGGACAAGGGAGAAAATTAAAAGCATATAAAGTATTTATCAATGAACATCTAACCAAAGAGCCAAGCAAGCATTGTACCTTAAGAAACTGGGAAAAATTCAAAGTACTTGGATGAAAAACTGTAAAATCAAACTAAAAGGATCACCGGAGGAAGCTAAACTGCTGGTCATCAAAAATATGGTAGATCTCAAAAAATATACAAAACTAAACAAGGTAACAACTATACACTCACTTATCACACACTGAAGGGAAAGGAAAAGCTATTTTATATTAATATGTGGAATGAAACCTGAATATATGAATCAATGAGTGATCCACCTGCTCCCCATCTTTGTTTGCTGATTAGGTGCTTTACCAGCCCGAGGATCTGCCTGCACAGAATCTTAGCTTGTCCTAGGCCTGTGCCTCTGGACAGACACTGGAGAGGCATATATAATGCATGAGTGAGTGTGTTTGTACTGCAACAGTAGCTTTTTTGGTAAAATTAGTGTAAAAACAAAAAACATTGCACACCCTTGAATATTTAATTATCCTTTCTGGAAAAATGGATCAAATTATTCAATGGAGAGCCTGGAACATTACTGTAGGCCAGTATGAAGGAAGCTAACAGCTAACCAACACATTAATAAAAGTCAGAAAACTATTTGCTGTTATGGAACCTTAAATATTAATTTTAAATAATTTAATCAGCCTGGCTTATTATTTGGAAAGCTGCCAATCTTGTTGGCAATAGCACTTCTCAGAAGATCCCTGGGTTTGCAACACCACTAGCATGAGACATAAAGAAATAGTGGACTAGTTGGGGGGAAAAAACAAAACAAACAAACTGACTTTTCTTTATGAATTCATTAATACTTTGCACACCCACAACAGAAGAAACTGAATTATATTGGCTGAAACATTAATGTTCTTGTATGTGGGAGTGTACAAAATAATAAACAAACAAACAAAAAAACAAAACAAAAAAACAACAATAGTTTCTTTTTTAAAGCATGATTCACCTTTAATAAAGAATGCACATAAAGCTACACATGTGTACATTCCCCTTTGACTACAGCAATTTCCTGTATATTGCACTTTAATGATGTAATGTGCTGTTACTGGTACAGGTAAGAACAAGACAAAGACACACCAAGGCAGACAGTTGATAGTTTAAAAAAATAATAAAAATTTAAAAAGAAAAGAAAAAAAAATGAGGAGGCTTCTCACCATCACACGGCCAGTTCCTGGAAAAAACAAAACAAAACAAAAACAACAAAAACAGGAAGTTTGTCTCTTTGCACACACACACAAAAAAACCTGGTATAATCTGAGATTATACACTCACACATTTGCTGAGAAATCTTAGAAAGACGGAGGAATTTAATGAGGTTAAAATTGGATATATACAAGCAAGAAAACCCTCAGGAAAAAGGGGTAAGGAACCACAACACTTTACTTTGCATGGCTTGATGAACCTTGGACCATCTGCCTGCAGCATAAGTCTCAATTAAATAATAACCTTAATACTTGATACATGATTTTAGCCTACAGTGACAATGACATCTAGCCATGGTTATTTAGAAGAACACGTGTGCGAATGAGGTGATAACTGGATCGGGAACAGACTGACAGATGCTCGTTCACCCTGCTACAAATGCAAAGTGAAGTAGTTCCTTGACAAATAAGATTTTTTTAGAGTTGATTCTTGTGCATTTCTGACTTTAACACTAAATATAATCCTCATTCACCAATTCAACATCCATTTTTTAAACCTACAACAGCCTTCATAATATGCATTTGTAGATATAAAGTGCAAAAATAGTAAGAATAGGACGTGAATAACATGAGCATGTTTTCTGTATAAATTGTACTTTGAGGATTTGTGCAAAAATGTTGCTTGTCACATTTTAACAGACAATTACAGTCAGAAAATTTAAATGTCACTGTTGTTTAAGGACAAACCTTTTATGGTAAGCAAGCTGTAGCGGCTGCTTTACATAAAGAGAGCAGCAACAGATCAACAGACACACATGCACACACATTAAGTATTGATGTAGCTGCCATAAGAGGTCCATACTGGTTTGTTATGTTGTCTGAGTCATTAGCAAGAACTGAAACAAATGAGGGCAGTAGTAGTTTGAAAAAGAGGGAAAAAAAAGACTAACGTGGAATAACTAATAAAAATTCACAGTTTAAACACATACAATACTCGTTTGTGTGCCATCATTGATACGAGGTTTGCTGATTAGTAAATAGACTTTAAAACACTAACGGTTGTTAAATAATTACAACATAGCACAAAAAAATAAATTAAATAAAAAAACCAATGTACAATCAAGCTGTCCAACATTATAAAGGTTGAGTTTAAATGTTGTCACTGGATAAATTGTAGCATACTCTAAATGATAATTATGTCTAGAGACATTTTTGCTGTGTGTAACTGAAGCCCTTGATCAATAAAACTTGGGGTAGTTAGTGCTACTATTACCGTTTACGCTTCGTTAAAGTATCTGCTCTACTATTTTCCAAATGGTACAAATGTTTGAAAAAAAATCCTTTTCAGTTTATGTATTAAACACATCTCAGACAACTACAAGTGTAATTTATAACTTTAGTTCATAAATTCAGAACAACTCAAAATAAAGACCCTTCATGTGGAATAAATATGAACGAACCCTCTGAAGCTACAGAGTAATACCCAAATAACAGTACTGTGGCTTTTTAGGTCAATTTCTTCATATGAACATATAAACACGCACACACTCACGCACACAAAACGATCACACCTTGTGTTGACTCAACAGTCGGCAGAAAGAGCACATGGAATAAATCTTCACAGTCGTAGGTCTTCTGCTTAGCGCTGTGTGATGTTTTGTGGAAGTATAATTGGTGTGCAAGCAATCCCAGCAAAGGATTCTGGAAAATGCAAATCCCTCTCCCACTCATCTGTCTCTGTGTTGTACACCTGAACGATACTTGTGACATTGTTCAGGTGCCAGTTGTAACCTCCGACGATGTAAATCTTCCCGTCTAGAAGGCAGCAGCCCGCTTCAGACTGGCCGGCCCTCATAGGACTGGCTGTGGTCCACTGGTCGTTCTCTGGAATGTAATACTCGACCGCTAGCACATCAAAACAACGGTCAACATGGTCCATGCGGCCGCCCAGGGCGTAAACCCGATCCCTGGTGCTGATCATGGTGTGCAGCACTCTGGGTTCATTCATGGGAGCTCTGAAGTCCCACTGGTCTGTCGCCGGATCGTAGCAGTGAAGAGTTTTCTTGTCATCCAATGAGACGCCGTATCCTCCTGAGATATACAGCTTCTCTTGACAGGAAGTCCCCGCATGACCCCAAATCCGGCGTTTTAATGGTTCCACATATGACCACTCATTCTTCTTTGGGCAGTAACACTCTACAGATGACAGGCTGCCAGATCGATTGCGCCCTCCAGTGGCGTACAGCAGTCCATTCAGCACATTTAGCTGAAACTGGATACGAGCCTCCTGCATGAGTGGAATGCGCAGCCATTGGTTCAGATGTGGATCGTAGCGGAAACAGCTGTCCACCGCCCCCTCGCCACTACGATACTGTAAGTGCTGTCCGCCGACGACGTAGACAAAGTTGTCTAGTACGGCAACACAAGCATGGCTGCACCCCGTCTCCATCTCCGTAAGCTCTTTGAACTGACGGGATGCGACATCTGGAAGACAGTACACCTTTGTGGTGACTGTGCGATCGTTGTCGGTGTAGGGCGTCCCACCAAAGGTGATGAGTGACATGACGTCAGAGCGAATGAGTGTCCGTGAGGACTGCATTTCATGCTGTCGGAAGGGAAGGATCTGGTAGTTGAAGGCCTCGAGGAGATACTGGCGACACTGAACATCCTCCACCATGATGTCCACTCTCTGAATGCTGTCCACCAACTCTGAAGAGCGCATGAGGGGGAACCGCACGTGGCAGAGGACGCTGCTGGCTTGAGCCCGGCGAGACTCGTCGTACTGGAGCCACCTGATGGCGGCGTGGAAGAGGTCGATCTCACTGCAGTTCTTCAGTTTGTTGCTTTGAAGGAAGAAGGTGAGGCGCTCCATGGGAATGTGCAGGAAATCATCCTCCTCTGCAATCTGGAGGAAGTGGCAAAAGGTGAAGGCATCCACCGACTCCTTCAAGGAGGACAAGCTGAACGTGGTGGCCATCTGGCCGATGTGCAGGCAGGTCTCAACGCTCATCGCTGACTTGAGGAACTCCTCGCAGAGCTCCACGACAGGAACCATTTGGAGGAAGACAGCAGCTCCGAGGACATCCTGAATGCAGTCCAAGTCTAAAGTGACTTCTGCACTGTAGGCAAAGTCGATGATGTGTTTCAGCCCACGGGCAGACAAACCCTTCAGCTCAATGGTATCTTGGTTCGACTCCCTCATGCCTCCCGTGAACATAGCTCTGAAACACAAGGACGTGTAAGTAAACTACGTGATATTTTACGGTCCCTTGGAATTCAAAACTGCATACATTTACTTTACTGTTGAATGGCAATGGAGTCAGAGTCATTGCTCTACGTAAAATAAAATGAATAAATAAATAAAAAAAGGCCCTTTTTTCCTGAGTCATTGATTGTTTCAGGTCTGGTGCAGATGAACCAAAAACTAGTGTGCAAAGCAGTAAGCTTACCTTTTCCTGCATTTTTATGTTATTGTACAATTATCTAAATATTAAAACGTTTTAATATGTTTTAAAACTTTCTCAATTTCTGCTTCTCTAATATACGATATCGTTATATCATTTGGCAAATATGAATTCACTGACATACAGGAGACTGAGAATGTATTTTTACATTACCGAGATGTGTATTTAACTTTAAATTGATGTAACTGGTTTTTTTCCCTCCATTCCAGCTAAAAGCTTCCAGTTATGAATGCAAATCGGGCAGTGTGAAGTCTCATGCCTTAGACTAACCTGAAGTAATCACTACAGGCGGCCAGCACTGCTTTATGGACCTGGAAGCGCTCCTCGTTGATGGCCAGCACGACGTCAAGTAGCTGGCCCTGAGCCCGTAACACAGACAAGCCCTGAAGGAGGGTGGAACTGTGGCTCGGGGCTGAGAAAGTACAGCGAAGGGTGCTATTCTTGTTTGCCATACTGTAAAGAGAAAAAGGCCTCAAGTCACTCAAGTGATTGTTCCTTTTTTCACATCTCCCCTGATCTTAGTTTCTGTACTCAGCTTAATTTTTCAGTTACTAAAAGCTATTACCGCCTTTTCAAACATGCTGCATAGTCCAAGAGATCAATAAGTTGCGTCTGGTGAAAGCATTGCTGTGATGAAAATTTAATCTAATCTGCTAGAGTCGGCCAGGGAGAAATGCATTCTGTTCGGTGTCTTTGCATTAGCGAGAATGTGTCTGTACACTGGAGTCATGGTGAGGGGAAGAGATAGTGCTGTGCACTTTACTGCTAGACATAAAAAACTGAAATCTATCTGCCACAATTACAGTGGCTTACTGAGAGCAAGTAAGTATATCTGGTGGACACACCATCATAGGTACATGAAAAAGCATCACTTTGTCAGCACTCAAGGAAAAGGAAGTTCTCCCTGACATCACTGCAAACACATTTATTCAAAGTACATATATAACCTCAGATGAGCAACAAGCTTACATACATTTTTGCTTGCACTTTTCCCCCCTGATATGCTTCATTTAACAAGAAATCAGTTTTCTTGCCCTAATAGGAGAAATTATAATCACCCTGGTGTAAAAAAATTTTTTGGAATCCTAAAAAAGTAATTGAGAACTGAGAACTGTGTGTATAAAAATAACCAGTCTTGCAATTTTCATACCCCAGTATTGATCTTGAATATCAAGTGATGCTGGTACGATCAAAAAGATTCGTTCCTCTGACTCTCACCTTTATTTTGTCAAAAGCTAACAAATACAATGTAGCCCAAATAGGCATTTTCTTGCTTTGGAGGTTGTATTAGTTCATCTCACAAGAGCCAACAAAATAATTTAGAGAATGCAAACGCTGCTGGTTGGTACTGGAAAAAAATAAAACGGCAAAAAAGTGCAGGTCTGGAATAAACAGCTTAAAACAGTGCGAGGATCCCTGCAGTAGTTGTATGACTGATCCTGTGTATTTGCATGGGAAAATTAATTCCTGACAAATTTCCTATTTGTTTGTAGAAAAGCTCGAGTACCTGGGTATCTGCTGAGCAAATAATATTCATCTCTGTCTGTGCATGTCAAAATAAAAGGAAAACAAAGTGGAAACTGCGCACATGCGCGCACACAAAACAGGTGAAGGGAAGAAAACGGAGAGTCTTCTTTTATATATCTGGACTAACGTGGTTGTTTGCCCGTGTAAAATAATAAAAAATGCAAACGTGTTCCATTTAGCTTTGGCAGTGTTACTCTTAATACTTAATGATGGCGTGTCCTACGGTTATCACGTTGACGTAATTAAGTGCACCTGCATGTCTCCAGTGGGGAAACCTCCTCATTAAAATAAACGAAATGCTTACGGTCTGCATTATGTTTTTGTTTTGTTTTTTAAATATCAGAATTTTTAAAAACATGCCTAATCTGATTTTGAAGAAGATATTTGAGCCATAACAAAACAGAAACAGACTTTCCGCGGATGTGCTCGCAGTTTTGTGGTGACATTTAAAGCAAATTAGCATCGCTTCAAAGTTGTGACCTATTTATTAGTCTATCATAAAAATTATTAATAAAACTGTTAAAATATAGCAGGTTGTGTTACGGTTGTCTAGCCTCCATTCTGAACTTCTTTTTTCTTTGCTGTATCGATAAAAAGGAGCAGGTAGTCTTGGTGCCTGGAGGCCCGGACACCGCCTCGGTGTTTCCTTGATTTACGCCGCGGCGCTTCGAACCGTTCTGACGGACTCGGATCGAGCTCGAGTCCCGGAGCCGTGGGAACTCCCATCAGGGAAACACCGGACACCCAAGACAACACCGTGGACTCCCCACGCCCTCACCCACCTGTTCTGCGTATCTTTTGGAGCAAATTCCCCACCATCTGACTCCGCCATCTTCTAGCACATAGCAACACGCATAGGGCATTTTCAGCAGAGTTAACAGGATGCCAATGGCACGACTGGCCCGGTCATGGCTTCACAACTCTGGATAAAGTCGATTGTTCCAGGATGGATGGTAAACAGTTGCCTGTCTGTAGTCCTGTGCCGAACACGGTGGTGACCTCACCTACCGGCTGCTTGCTGTACCTCCTTCCTTTGTGCCGACCACTAGAGGGCGCCACAGTCACGTGCACAGGTGTTTCAGTTGAGATGTCCCGTGTGAAGCATTGATCCTATAGGAGACAAAACTAGATTGTAACAGTAAATATCCATAAAATGTGTCTGTCATTCTATTCATACGGTAGGCCTGTATTAAAGTAGCACTTCTTGGTTGCCAGTTAAGTCTATATGTGTAAAATGTTGCGAATATAAAAAAAAAGTATCAATTGCAAAGCCTGTATGTAAACAATACAATAGTATATGAGCTGGGGCCTCCTTTATCAGATTTTTCTGTGCAGTAAATGTGATAGGACTGGAATGCAGAGAGGCCAGTTCTGCACACAGACTGTGCTAATATGCAGAGAATGTGGTTTGACATTGTTGAGTTGAAATGAATGAGGCTTTCCAGTGAAAAAGTCTAGCTCATTAAAATGATGTCAAAGCAAAAGACTGTAACTTGTCTAAGACCATATGAAACTAATTCAAGTCATTTCTATTTATATAGCGCCAAATCACACCACAAGGCTCTTTATATGATAAGGTAAAGACCCTAAAATAATACAGAGAAAACCTGAACTTTCAGAAAGCAAGGCAGCAGTGGGAAAGAAAAACTCCCTTTCAACAGGAAGAAACATCCAGCGTAACCAGGCTCAGAACATCTTTGCTCATGCAGTCATCAGAGTTTGAGTCTGTGTGTGTGTGAATGTTAGACAAGGTGCTTAAACACTTTTTTCTATCTAAAATTCAAATGTGTTCTCTGGAGTGACGAATCACAATTCACCATCTGGCAATCCGATGGATGAGTCTGGGTCTGGCAAGGAGAACTGTACCAAGTGTAAAGTTTGGTGGAGGGGGGGATTATGGTGTACAGTTGTCTTTCGCGAGGTGGGCTCAGCTCCTTAGTTCCAGTGAGAAGAACTCTTAATACTTCAGCATACCAAGACATTTTTACACCAAGCTTGTGGGAACAGTTTGGGCATGGCCCCTTCTGGATTAGAACATGACTGTGCACGAGCGCACAAAGCAAGGTCCATAAAGATGTAGAAGAACTCAATTGGCCTGCACAGAGTCCTGACCTCAACCTGAGAGAACGCAGCCTGGTCATCCAGCATCAGTCTGACCTCACAAATGTGTTTCTGGAAGAATGGTCCAAAAATTCCCATAAATACTCCTAAACCTTGTGGAAAACCTTCCCAGAAGAGCTGAAGATGTTATATCTGCAAAGGTTGGGCTAACATCATATTAAACCCTATAGACTAACAGTGGCATGTCACTCAAGTCCATATGTGTGTGAAAGCAGAGGAGTGAATGCTTGTGTGCACAAGAACAAGCACAGAGGTATTGGATGCCTGACGTCACCAAATCAAAAACTGACTGAATCTGCAACATCAAATGTGAGAATAGTTGTGTTGATAAAAACTGAAACTTCAGTTAAACTATGAGCATGACTGTACTTTATTTATACATACACTATGGTATCCTGTGATAGTATTTTAACCACAGGCATTGCTTATCAGATGTTTTTTTTTCTTACCACAGAGATTAAAATCTTCTGCTCTGACCAGACGATTTTAATCTCTGTGGTAAGAAATGAACACACAACAGAACAGAGTGATCATCTTGCTTCTTTTATTCTTAAAATCTGAAGTAGGAAAATCTTTTCTTCTTCCAGTTCTGGGAATGCAAATTGCAGCAGGGTGGGAAACGCAAGTAGGTTGTCATCACTTTTTGAGAATTAAACAGGACACGCTCTACTCTGAACAATGTAACTTTCGATCTGAATGCCACAGAAGTCTCTTTAGTAATGAGTAATGTGGTTTTTGATGAGCTGCCTTTTTTAAGGTCATTGGGTTTTCTTTTTTGCGACCACTTCCTGTCATACCATTACCTCTCAACAGGCTCACATTTGTACTGCTCAGCGATCATAAACACAGCTTCTCTGTCTTTCCTGTTACATTACACTGGCCAACATGAGTTGTTTTTGTTTTATTTTCTTGTCATTGCAAAAACATACTGCAAAAAGTGAATTAACTTTTGCTTTGAATAATAATAATACAAATCTGCTTTCTTTCACAGCAAGTGTATGATGGATAATTAAAGTCAGCACTTAAAGCAAATTCCAACTGACTGAATTATCCTTTGGTAGCTTGTGTCTGACAGTTTCACGTTGTTGCCTCAAGATAATAGCAATGAACTAAAACCACTGAGGCAAATTTGCTTTTTAGAAAGTTTGAAAAAGTCAAACAAGTATTAACAAAGATTTCTTTATTCCACAAATAAAAAACAAACAAACATTTATTGACACTGTAAAGTGATAAAGTATGAGAATGTTTAACCCTCCTTCTTTCATGTACTGGCCTCCTTACAGTGGGGGCACTACTTATTTGATCCCTTGCTGAATTTGCACATGTCGTCCCTTACAAAGAAAATAATTAAAGTCTCTCATTTCTATGGAAGTTTCATTTTAGTGTAGAAAGGTGAAAAAAAACCACATTACATGAACGTTATAAATTCATTTGTACATCATTGAGTGAAGTAAGTATTTGATACTGTGACGGAGGTGTGGTCCCTGGCTTAGCTGCAGGGGAGGAGTGGTGCAGTGAGCTCAACGGGGCGGTGCTGGGGAGGCAGGTGAGAGCACAGCTGGTGGCTTTTGGACTGATGACAGTCTTTTTCCCTTTTTAGTGAGGTGGAAGACCAGAGAGGAGGGTTGGAAAAGCTGAGACCAGTGCTGACCAGACTGTGGGTTGTTGCATAAAACCCTAAATAAACTTGTGAGCATAACCAGTGTGTGTGGAGTGCATTCTACAGATACCCTATAACCTAGCCAGAATTCTGACTCCCATGGATTGATTAATTGATTAAATGACAGTAAATCAATCAAGTACAGATACTCCTGATCTCAACTCACTATGTGTATAAACCACACCCAAAGAGCCTTCAGAGGACGTCAGAGACAAGTGTGGGAAATCGAGGAAATAAAATATAAAATGACCATCAATCACCCTTGATCTGGATCCGTGCAAGAGGTTGTCTCGTGGGGTGAGGATGATCAGGAGAAAGGTGACGAATTGGCCCAAAACTACACAGGAGGAGCTTGTTAACCATCAATGCACTACACCACAATGGATTGAAATCTTACAATGCCTGCAAGTTCCCCCTTCTTAAGAAGGCACATGTACATGCCTGTTTTAAAGTTAATATCTGTGAACATCTAAATGATTCAGAGGAGGCCTGGCAGAAAGTGCAGTGCTCACATGAAACTAAAGAGAAATGCTGAGTATGACTCAAATACCACCATCCCGACAGTGAAGCACGGAGGCTGAAACATTATGCTTTGGTGCTGTTTTTCTGCTAAGGGTGCAGGACGGCTTCAGGTCATTAAGGGACCAATGGGCAGGGCCATATACCATAAAATCTTGGATAAGGACCTCCTTCCCTCTGACAAAACACTGAAGATTGGTCATGGATGGGTCTTCCAGCATGGCACCGACCCAAAACATACTGCCAGAGAAGTGGCTAAAGAAGGAGCATATTAAGGTCAGGAAGTGGCCTAGCCGGTCTCCAGACCTGAGTGGAAGGAGCTGAGGCGTCTGTGCCAAGAGGCAGCAAAAAGACCTAAAGCATTTAGAGAGTGTCCATAAAGAGGAATGGGCCAAAACCTTTCCTGGGATGTGTCTAAACCTAAGAAAAGTCTTACCGCTGTGCTTCCCAACAAGGGTTTCTTCACTAAGTACTAAGTTATGATCAAATACCTATTTCACTCAGTTGCATACAAAATGAAAGTACCATAAAAATGTCTTTGCAAAGTAAGCAAACTTACACATTCACAGTGGATCAAATAATCATTTCCCCTACTGTATGTCAATGAACAAACAAGATAGTCCGTTAATGTCAAATAAAAAAAAACAGCAAAATACTTTTGCTGATTAATATATTATTGCTAAGATCCTTCATTCGGTCAGCAAGTGCTTAGGTTCTTTTGTGCTGTGATGCTGAAAAGTCTTTAGTTAAATCCATTTAAGGTAATTCTGTCTTCATGTCAAACACCAAGCCGTTCTTGTATATCAGCATGGCAAGCTCATTGTCCACTTGCTCAAGGTCCGTAATTTCTCCTTTGGAATTCCTCTGCTCCTCATCTGTAGAGCCGGGGCTCGAACAGTCGTCGCTGCATTCTTCCAAGGTACTCCTGTCGTGGTCTACGTCCTCATCAGTCCCATCGTCCCACTCGTCCCGGACAACGCGGACATCTTCTGCTTCCTCTGAGACAGACTTTCCCTCTGGATAAAGTTTGAGCAGCGTCAGCTCATCGTGCACCTCCTCTTTCTTCTCTAGGATTTCCTGTTTTATCACATTATCAGAGAACAGATTTAGTAAGTATTTGTAATTACATGGGATAAAAGGTTTTATCAGTTGTAGATATGAAAATGTGGGTTAAAGCTCATTGAAAATATTCTGTGGTCAGACAAATTAAAATTTGAAACTCTTTTTGGAAAACATCGAAGTGGTGTCCTAAAAAAGGAGGGGGACCAGTGTGCACATCTGATAAAAGGACCATCAGTGTTGAAAGGTACGTACAGGTTTTATACATACACACCCTTTGTGTACTGTTTTCACTGACGCAATGAGTTGAGCTCATTTTTGTCTCAGTTGCTTGCGTTTTGTCTTTTTCAATAGGGCACATGTCACATTCGGCAAAAAAAAATTGACAATGGTCAAAACAGTGGTCCACCCATCACTGGTCATGGTACTGTGGCTGCATACTTCTCTTGCACATAGTCGACAGTTCTGCTTTTTGGTCAAATGAAAAGTCTGTGGTTCTGCCACATTGGCTTTCAATAGATCGGTCAGAGTATTTGCTGGAAAAATATTTGGCCAAAGCATCCAGTCATTTCAGCAATGCCCACTTAGCAACCACAGACATTCAACTTTCCATCATTTGCAGTTTTACTTCTTGTTACTGTTTCCCAGACATAGTGCTTTGAGTTCTGCCCTCATAGTTATGTTTTTGACCTAGATGATCTTTTTTCTCATGCGTTTTGAGAACTTTACATGCAGTTTACCAAACTCCACATGGACTGTCTCATGCCTTTTATTCAAGAATGGCCTCCGTCACTATGATTTCAAACTTATTCCATTTAGCAGTTACAAAGGTCAGTGGGGAATTGATTTTATAGTCCAGATCTTGAGAGCATAATATCTCATCACAGTCAGGTCTGCAGTTTCCTGGACCTCTTTGCTTGTTCTTTGTTTAAAATTCAGTAAATTATATATACAGGTGCTTGCCTTTCCAATGTATGTCAATGATTTTCTTGGCCTAAGAACACTGTGATCAATATTAACCTCCTAAGACCCGAACTCTTCCACGGCATGCATTTTTAATTTCTCTTTGATATTTGGGGTGATTGGG